ACCCTCTCCTCTCCTCTCCCCTTTCATTCTCACTTATTTCCTTCGAAGCGGCGGCGGGACGAGCGAGCTCTTCCCGGGGGGCTGCTCGCGTGCTGCCATCCCGACCGGCACCAAACGCCAGCCGCCGGGAGACGCTCGGGGTCGAGCCCCTCGCTCCTCCGCCCGGGCGCCGGGGGTCCTGTCTCCGCAGAGCAACGACAGCCCCGGTCCGTTCCTCTGACCGAACTCCTCCTCGTGACTGGATTCCTGTAGGTCTTTCAGGGAAATGATATCCCCTCCCAGCACTTCCCACTACTCTCTTGAATAAACTCTTTTCTCAGAGTAGGCGAACGCGACCCGCCGACGTCCAGTTCAACATCGTTCCCATGAGCCGAGCCGAGGGGTTTCTCCTCGTCGTCTCTGGGAGAGCCTCGGAGGCATCTCTCATCCTCAGGCGTTCAGGTCGCTGGGTTTTTTTTCCTGTTAAACCTAATGCTTTGGCCAACTCCATCCTGGGGAGCAAAACGCACTTGATTTAGTAGCATTTGGGGTAGTTCCTCCGGCTTTTGGTTTACTGCCCCGGGAGATGTTGTGGAACAAAGCGGGGTTCTGGAGTTTGGTTGTGTAGAGCAGCTCCACGTGCCTGGTTTGGGGAATTTGTCGGGAAGGGAAAGGTTTGGGCATTGTCTGTGCTTACAGAAATTATGAATGTTTTCTTTGGAGTCCGGCATTCAGGGCCTATTGAACCCGCAAAGGCTCTGTTCTCATATTGTACAGGAATTATAATCTATAGGCTACAAAGAAATTGCTGATCTTTAGCAAAAGAGTAGACAAGTACGCTGCTTTTCTGGCTTAGTTGTTTAATTTTGCTTGAGTTTCTTCTCTGGCTCTGTTAGGAGACAGGTAAGTGGTGAGACTCAGGTGCCGGTAGCCCAGCCCAGCTCACGCTGAGAAATCAAAATTGATGTTCCTTGTCTGATCTTGCCACCGTTAACAACGACCGCTAGCAAGAGCGCTGACACGGTGTCTAAAAACTGTATTTCCGGTAAAAGGGAATGGTCTGGGGGTTAAATCGTGGGGCTTTTTACTCTTGATCGTTCCAAAGACTTCAGCCAAGCTGCCGAAAACTTCTCTGTCCCTCCTACTCTTCCCCGGTGAAGTCTGAATAATTTGTCTTTCAGGTGGCTTTTTGTATTTACCTCCATATTCTTTAAATTTGGTACAGGACGTTAGTGACGTGGCACCTTAAAATATTCACTCTGGATGTTCTTAGCACCTTTAATTTATTAAAATAGACTTTAGGAATCTGATTCATCCTTAATTTATGCTCTCTTCGCTCCATCGCTGCCTATTTACACTCAATTACTGGTGAGTTCGTTCCCTGGCTCGCAAGTGCTGCCTTCAGAGTGCAAGGCAACAATTACATGCGGAAGGTAGTTGTCTTTAATGTTGTGAAAATAATAGGTTTGGGGTTTTTTTTGTCAGGTATTACAAAACACAGGCTTTGCCTTGCGTCCTGGACACGAAGGAGTCCCGTCAGTTTATGGCTCAAACTTGCGCTGACGACGGCGGCGGCGGCTAACTTGTTAAATTGTTATAACTTCGAGATGAGAGAAACTTGACTGCTTGCCATATTGATGCAAGACGGCACCGTTTTCAAACCTAGAAACGAAATGGGCGGTTTCATCTTGGTTGGCTTGATGACATTTTTATTGACATTCTCGTTTTTCTTTCCCCGGTGTTCTCATCTTAGCGCTCTAAACGGGGCAGATGGATGCCCCTCCGAGAAGCTGAGGATTACAGAGAGTTTGCACAAATTCCAGCTACTGATATGCACATAAAATGAACGAGCGAGACTCTTGCTGGCAACCTACAACAAAATTTCCCGGCCTGCGTCAGCATTTATTCCTATTTTTATGAAAACTTCTGAACGGAGCGTGCCTGAGCCTTCTGGAAGCAAATCCTGGCTGTGTCTGAGCAGAGCTGCTTGCGATCTGCGACTGGATTTCGACACCCCTTAACGTCAGAGGTGCTCAGAGCCACGTCCCGGCTTCTCTGCGGATTCATCTTTTGCTTTAATGGGGAGGTTCTCCCAAACAAAACAACCTCTCTGATGGCTTTTCGCAGCTCCACTACGCTTTTTCGGTCCTCGCCACTTACCTTAAGTGGCTCTGAAAGGCGTCCGGGCCTATGAAGGGTTTTCCTTTAAGCTGTGCGCTGCACGCGGTGAGTCATCCTGCAGAACTCGCAAGCAATTTCACAAATACCAGATGGCAATAAAATTAAAAGTAGTAGCTAGTGGCAATTAAGCATTTGCTATAACCATTCTCCCTTCCTGACTGTAGGAAGCTGCCAAATGTCTTTTTTTTTTTTTTTTCTTTTTCTCCTTGACCGAAAAAAAAACCCAAACGATGTTTCTGCAAACGAGTGGAAAATTAACAGAATACAGGACGCACGCTTCCTTCCCTAGCCCGTAATCCCGTTTGGACTTGAGTGGCAAGCTATTTGCTGTATTTCGCACATCTCCAGGAGAAGATGAAGCAGAAAAAACACGCGGTAAAGGAAAATTTGGGGCGTTGTATGGGCACGTGCAAGAAGTATTTCAGCAGTGACCCTGTTAAACCCACAAACTGGTCGCCTCTAGGCTCGCAGGATGTCCAGCCCTTTAAAGAAGACTATATTCAGGCACGCTACGGAGCTGCTGGGACTTAGTTTAGATGTTCTGTTTTGTTTTTATACTGCAGGCTGTTGCAAAGGATCTGCTCCACAAACTGGGAAACAGTTCGAGCTCATCAACGTAGGAAGCGCGTCCAAATACCATTGCGTTTGGCTCAGTATAAAGAACAATGACTGCTCCCCTTCCTTCTCAGTGACTCTTGCTGCTTGGCATGTCTCGCATCTATCAGCAATACACAAATAGTTATTAGCTTTTTCAAGCCCCAGATACTCTACCTCGGCCCTTCCTTCCGACGTATTACACATGCAGCATGCTTCATGCATTCGGTTATTTAAAAGTCACATGTGATGTGACCTTGCCAAGATTCTTTAGAGATAAATCTCTCCTAGTTATGCATACCTGGCCAGGAAGGATTGTTTTCGTGATTCACGTTGCAATAAGAAGCACAAATCTACTTCTTCCTAACGTGTAAACAACACAACGCTTGATTTCTTTTTTTTTTTTTTTATTTCCCCCTATCATAATGGATAATTAGTGTCTTATTTGTAGTGAATCATATTAAAGTGATCTTATCGTTATCGGTTTTCACACGGTGTTTTAAGAAATCCTGAGATGTTTTCGTGCTGCGTTTGGCACAGATGAGGAAAGGGTGAGGCCAAACCAGCTCCACGTCACCGCTCTCCCGAGCTGCGGCGTTTCTCGCCCTGTCCTGGCGAGGAGGGAAGCGTCGGGGGCTGATGGTGCATCGCAGCACCTGAGGAGCCCGGGCTGGGGGATGCGAGAGCAAAAGGAAAACCGGGGCGGATATAGGGGGTTTAAATCAACAATTTCTCTTCAGAAGATCTCCTCCTAAGTCCTAGCCAGCGAGTATTTCGTGTTGTCTATCGAGCAGCACCGCCTGGCGTGCTGTCCAGCCTCTTTCTTAAAACACGCTTCAATCCCCCCGGGACGCGAAGGCAGCAAATGCAACCGCTTCTGAAAAGGAATGATATGACTGGTAGAAAGACCAGAATTAGTGGATACTCAGATAACCTGATAAACAGAAAGGAGTCAGGAGAAGTCTTGCCTGGAAGACCTGTTGAAGTCCCTCGAGTACATCCTCAAACACGTGGGTGGGGAGAACCAGGTGCTACGGTCTACTTGAATTTCCAGGTGCCTTTTTAAGGATAAGCAGCCTCTATTTGTGGAAAGCAGGCACAGATTAAGAGGGAAGAACGTAGCCTGGACAAATAACAAAGTAAAAGATTAGGAAGAGTGGATTGGCATGACAGGTCACTTCTGTTCGCAGGTGGACATCACCAGTGGAAGCCTGCAGGGATCTTCACCCCTCGGTGTACCCACGAGTGCTTTCTCCTTTCGTGAGCAAAATTTTGGCAAGTTAAAACCTGAGCGAAAACACGATAGGTGTTTTGCGGACCAGCCAGCTTCGGTGGTACTCGAGTTATTGAAATCTCTACCGGCTAGGTAGGGGGTTGTCCTAAAGATTCCCACGGTAGGGAACTGGTTTGTTTGTGATCTTGTTTTGCTTTGTTTCTCCTTACTCACCGCCGCCTTGCCTCCTGCGCTGGCGGGCCAGCAGGTTTTCCCGGAACAGGTCATGCGTCTGGCACCGAGCTGTGGCACTATCTGCTAGGCGAAAGGGACCATATGCCTGTCAGACAGCCCCGAAACAACTTTTATTTCAGGAATACCAGTCACGCAAAGAATTGCAGTGATTGTCGCTGTGCAGGTGGAACACTGCAACACCAAAACACCAACCGACTTCTCCTAGATCACGTATGGTTTCTGCGCGAAGCACAGAACTGAAGGTGCGCCTGCACTTCCCGAGCAGGAACTGCTTTGAAATCACTTTGCTTTGAGGTTAAGATCATAACGAGGAAACGTTCATCTAATCGGAGCCACGCAGTGCTCCTAGAGCGGCAGAAGAGCCCGGCTCAACCCGTCACACGCTGCAGATGAGGAGCCGCGTGTCCCCCGTCTGCTCATCTGGCAGATAGTTCAAACGCCGGTCCTTCAAACATCCGTCTGGGAAGCCTGGGCTTTTGCTCACCGCTTGCCGAGAAGGAACTCGAGATGTTTGTTGGGCTGTATCTTGTCCCAGGTGTGATCTAATTCCTTAATTCATCTTCCCTTTCTATGTTTCAGCTTTTGACGTTTCCTGGAGTGCTGCGGCCCCGACCTGCGCAGGATGGACCCTGTTGTTCTCAGTTACATGGACAGTTTGCTGAGGCAGTCGGACGTTGCCTTGCTGGAGCCTCCAAACTGGCTCAACGATCACATCATCGGGTTTGCCTTTGAGTACTTCGCCAACCACCAGTTCCAAGAATTTAGTGATCAGGTTTGTTTTATCAGCCCCGAAGTGGCTCAGTTCATTAAGTGTGCCCTTAGTCAAGAAGAAATAGCCATATTCCTTCAACCGCTGGACCTTCTCCACAAGAAGCTGGTGTTCTTGCCTATCAACGATAACTCCAACCAGGTCGCTGGGGGCACCCACTGGAGCTTACTGGTTTATTTCAGGGATAAAAAGTGCTTCGCCCATTACGATTCCCACAGTAAATGCAACTCCGTCCACGCCAAGCAAGTGGCGGGGAAGCTGGAGGCCTTCTGGGGCAAAAGAGGGGGCAAAGCAACCTTCGTGGAGGAGAAGGCGCCTGCCCAGCAGAACAGCTATGACTGTGGGATGTACGTCATCTGCAACGCGGAGGCTCTGTGTCAGGGATACTTCAGGGGCCGGCCGGAGCCTTTGCTGCAGCTCCTCACTCCCTCCTACATCACGCAGAAGAGAGCGGAGTGGAAAGCTCTCGTCACGAAACTGGCACAGAAGTTCTCGATGCAGCTCCCCCCCCCCCCCCAAAAAACTGCCTTCCCCTTCCGCGAGGCAGCACCCCCAGTGCCTGAGGGAGATGCCCATGCGCAGGATTGTCAAAAAGAAGAATGTAACCCCTCCAGCATGGCTACAGCCCCCAAACACCCTGTTCCCTCCTGGAAAAGCCTTAGTCCCCTCTGGAAATCACTGGCCTTTGAACTTCTAACCAGAAAAGTCACTTTGCTTTCAAAGAAATCAATCCTCCTCTCCACGGTGAGTTTTTACGCTAATCGCTGTGGCAAAATGGGTTGCTAAAGAGACCTCTCCGCCTTTGCCCAGCAGGCAACATGCCCTCGTTAGGTGGCTTTACCTGGCTACCGGCATCGCTGTTCCAAGCCAGGTTTAGCAAATGCCCTTTAAAACCAAGCCCCCAAACGCTTTATCGTGGCTATTTCTAATTTGTGCCTCCGCTAGCGGTATTTGAGCGGTCTAGGATTTAGCAGCAAGGATTTTTTTTTACCCCTGAAAAGCTGACGCTGAGCTGTCGATGTCAAAAGATGAGACTCCAAAGGAAATGCTACGATTAATTAAAGAATGGGACAAAAAGAAAATCGGTTTTCTTCAGATAGGTGCTCCTAGGCTGTACGGCGATAGCTTTTTTTTTTTTCTGTCCCCCACCCCTGCTCGCTCTTATTACAAATTAAAACCTGACTCTGAACTGCTGGAAGATTAATAGGAAGCTGAGAAACCCAATCCTGGAAAGGAAATTTAATCGAGATGAAAAGTGACACTCGCCCTTTGAAGTTTTGTTGGTTTGGTTTTTTTTTTCATTAGGATTTTAGGTCATCTCCATTTGGGGAGGGTTCGTCAGCGCTCCCCAACCCTCGTTAGTGTTTGCCACGCTCAGAGCGTACAAGGCGGTCACTGCTTCCTCTAGCACAAAACCAGTTCTGTTACTCGAGATAAAAAAACACACCAGGGAGAACAAAAGGACAGAGTTTGAGTTATAAAAGCCAAAGATAACTGCAGTCTCCTTGAAGCCTGAGAAGTCCTTAATACGCTTCTAATCGAAACGCTTTTCCTCCTGTGCTGGGTGATGGCTGGGATCCCAGAGCAGATCCTCTCGTTAAAAGACAGGCTTAGCAGTGGGGAAAATAAAATGAGATGTCGTTGCAGGATAAGAAGTAATCGCTAACCTCATGAGGAGCAAAGAGGAGGTCGCTCGGGTGGCGTCTAGCAGAGCAACCGCACCCCAGCGCGCCGACTGGATCGGGGAAATCCAGGTTAAATCTAACCCTCGGAAAAGGGGGAAGGATTATTTTGAACCCTGAGCTCTTCACCCATCTTATTGCCAGCCCAGCCCCACCGGCGTGTGTACCAGCACAGCCCCGAGGGTGGTGGACTGTAGGAAGGTCTGAAACTTCCCTTGCTGCTGAGAGGGAGGTAAGTAGCCACAGCCCAGGCTCTCCCAAAACACCCGAGCAAACACAGACAGCGGAGGGGCAAAATGAGGGTCGGGGTCGTTCCCGTCCTTCCTAGGCTGCTCGGATGGGAGAGCAGCCAGCGGGCCAGGGCATCCGGCCTTCCCGGGAAAACCCCTTCCACCGCTCGGATGGAGCCGAAATGGCATCGAGCCGCTCGCCGAAGGGGATTCGCATGGGGCTTCGCCGGAGCAACGTTACTGCCACCGCGGGAGGCTGCCTTTCTCCCGGGTCCGGAATAAAACTCAAACCAAACCGTGCGCTTGTGAGCATCGTCCCGTCTTTTGTGTAGGTACCCGCTGACAAGCGGCGGGTCCCGCTGCCCCGCGGCGCCTCCCGCTGCCCCGCGTTGTCTTGTGCGATGGTGTCGCGGCCGCGAGGGTTGTGACTCGCGGGCAGAGCCTCGGGTCTCGCAGCGCCTTTGCAGCCGCTCTGTGCTCTGCAGTGGGTGAAACCCCGCAGAAATCAGTCTTGGAGAGCCAGCGAGCCTGGGGACAACTCCACCAGCGCCTTTTGCGATAGCGAGGAGGCCATACAGGCTGATTTAATCTCCTAATCATATTTTTAGGGGTCGATTTGGGCGGGGGAAGAGCGCGGGCAGAGGGGAGGTAGGAAGGCAGGGTGGTGGGGCCAACCGGGGAAGCATCGGGGGGACTCGAGGGCAGGGGCTGCGCTCATCCAGAGGCTACCCCGCGCCCCTCGTCCCCGTGGGACGGGGCAGGGCTGCCAGAGCCAGCAAGGTGAGCACCCAGGGACGTTTCCCGCACCCGAGGCTTTTAGTGGCATTTCTTTACACAAAGAAAAGCAAATAAGCTCAAGCAGGGCGTCGCCGGGAGAGCAAACATGCACCGACCAGGCAGGCAAACACCGGCTGGAAGACAAACCGGAGCCTTGCAACCGGCTCCCGGCAGCAAGGACCCCGCAAAACCACACCGGGGTTCACCTCTGGGCTCCTCCAAACCTCCTCCACGTCAGCTGACTGCACCCACAGGTTGTCCCACCGCTGGCTTTAACCCAAGAGCCCCGAGAGGAGCCGAGGCGGCCGTTACCACCGTCACACGCCTGGCCCGGGCTCGGCACGGGGAC